GGCGGGTTTAGACAGCCACACTTTTACTCCGCGTTTGGTTAATCCGTGTCTACTTGAGTTGTGTGTTAATAGTTTAGGCTGTGCAGTTGAAGAGCAGCGACTTGTTGAAATACACAGGCGGGCCCTCTGCAAAAGAGAGAAAAGCGCATTATTTTCTACAAGGCGGATCCGCTCCAACCCCTACAGCTGTGGACGTCTCTACGACTGGAATCTTGTAAAAGAATTTGATTAACGAATCGCCGGCATGTAAATCATATGTTAATTTCCTATGAGCTAGAGAAAGCGCGACTTCACAAATGCGAAGCGAGAGACATAAGCAGAAGGAATCGCCGTTTTAAGTAATTATGTGACCTTTCTCTTCCCTCGCGTGCACAAAGGAGCACGTTTGCATATCCTCCCCGCTGGACCCTTCCTCGACCTCACCCCCCCCCCCCCTTCTACAGGGACTGATCAGCCCCCGAGAGAGACTACGGACTTCCCGGCCCCTGACAGCTAATACCTCGTCGCCTCAGGACTCAGAACTAAAGCATACCCTTGGTACAGCTTCATGCGGTTAGTGAGGTGCACACAGATGGGAAGGAAAAAGGCAGAAGATATTATTCCTAACATAGGGGAGATAAAATCTATGGCCCATTATGTAATCTTCGCCTCCAGCATCGCTAATCCCGCCCGTCTCCTCACATCGCCCGCCCACGGTACAGTCCCCTCACAGCTTAGGCACTTCCAATGAGACGTAGACAAAAGTTAAGGCAAGACACCCTTAAGGGCAGGCGGGCCTCCAGCCAGCTTGTCCTACACCCAGAGACATATATGCAATATAAGAGAATAATAATAATAATAACAATAATGATGGTGATGATAATAAAATCAACAACAATGATAATAATAATCATTATTATCATCAGTATTATTAGTAGTGTTATAGAAACATAACAATAATATTAACAATAATGGTAATAAAGATTTAAAAAGTCTAATAATAATAGTAACAGTAATATAACAATAACAATGATGATGATGATGATGATGATGATGATGATGATGATGATGATGATAGTAATAATAATAATAACAATAACAATAAAAACAATAATAATTACAATAATAATAATAATAATAATAACAACAATAATAATAACAGTAATAATAATAATAGTAATAATAACAACAACAATAATATAATATAATAATAATAATAATAATAATAATAATAATAATGATAATAATAATATGTAAAATTGTGATAAGGATGATGATGATGATAATAATGATAATGATAATGATATATAACCACTACTACTACTACTACTAATAATAATAATAATAATAATAATAATGATAATAATAATAATAATAATAATAATAATAATAATTATTATTATTATAAAAATGATTATAACAAAGGCAATAATAGTAAAAATAAAAATGATAGCAATAACAGGAAGAGGAGGATAATAGTAATAACAATAACAATAATAATGATAAAACTATAAACATAATGATAATAATAATGACAGCAATAATATCTATAATGGTGATGATGATGATGATGATGATAATGATAATGATAATGATAATGATAATGATGATTGTGATGATGATGATGATAATAATAATAAGAAGAAAAAGAATAAGAATAATAACAAAATAATATTGTTATTATTATCATCAACTTTCACTATTTTAGTAACACCACCACTAATAATAATAGCTTGCTTTGATCATTATCCCCATTATCATCACTACTCCTATGGCTGAGGCAACACCAGCACCAAAGCCAACAAGCAAAAAGCAGCGACAACGAGGCCCTCAGCTCGCCCTGGACCCTCCCGCAGGAGCCAGACGCCCTCACTTCCCATCCATATCGAGGCAGATCCCTCTTGCCTTTCCGGCTTGGCACTGTCCATGGCACCCATTCCCGCATATTCACCGCCCACCCCCCGTCAACCTGCCTTCGAGCGCCCGTTCCCTCAGCCCAAGGCGCCCCTCCGGAGGTGCATCGTCCCCAGCATTCGTCTTCCGACGGCGTCCCTGCGGACCCGTCTTCCCGCGCCCCCAGCCCCGCAGGGCCTCGCATCTCGCACCTCGGCTCCTTCTTCCCAGCGCCGTCCAACCGCACCCCCCCCCCTCCCCGCCACATTCCCGCCGCCGCAACTACCGCCGCGCCATCAGCATTCTGTGCTCAGCCGCCCGCAGCCTTTGGAGCCCGACGCCAAAATCCCAGATAAAGATTTATGGGTCTCCTCGCCAAAAAAGGCCGCGCGAGGAAGTCGGTTTTTCACAGCCCGGACGCCCGTGCTCGCCTCGGCCGCATCATAAATGATTTTTGCCGCAAATCGTGTAATCTGATAGAGCGGCCGGCCGGGCAGGACGCTCGGCCGCCGCAGGACCGCGCCTCGTGTATGTCCGTTCGTGTGCACATGGCTGTTCTCACAGGAATTCCAAGTTGAGTGTGAGCAGGTAAGCCCAATCATACTCATTTCTAAAATTAACAATATTA